TTTTCATCTCCAAATGGTAGGTTTATGGCATTGGGTTTACCACATTAATTAATCAGTCTCAACACAGTCTCTGACGGCGCCCCGCAAGAAAATGATGTGGAATCCAAACAAACATATGGCTATACATGGCTACATTTACATTCAGCATGAACATTATCTTGATGGACCACACACATATTCCGTATGACCCTCTCGTCATAAAACCTGGCAGTACACAATCCCCGGTTTCCAAATGTGTTTTCCCTTTCAAAGTGATGATTTTCCAGTGCCGTGTGTTCTTTCTGCAAAGCTGATTGATGGTTTTCGACCTCATCCGCAAAGAGTTCTGAACCCCTTCATATCCGGCAAAGGCCAAAAACGTTCTTAGTTTTCTCCAGCGCGACTGAGTCAGCTGGTACACCATTTGTGAAAGTCCATGCATTTTGGTCACTTGTACCTCCCAGGACATGTTTCTGCGTAGTGGCAGCCTTACATCCGGGCGGTGTTTGGCGCTCGTTGTTTCTGCCTCTTGATGTTGCGCGATGAGTCTTGGCAACGTGCCATGTGAACTGTTGTTTATCTGCCCTGTATAGAGAAATATACTGGTTAGTGCTTTCAAACCCCTCTGAAAAATATTACTCAGTTAGGATGATTGTACACAATATATGGAAAAAAATATTCCAAACCACCAACCAGTATATACCTGATTTTCACTCAATGGCTCTGGACTGATCTGCGTCATTGACAAATCGCGGGGTAAATGGGTTATTCGTAGATTTACCTACAGTTATGGCCATTTGCCAGCTTTAAGTCACCTATAATCCCATTTATAGAACGATAACCCGATGTATAAGCATACAAATAACCATTTAAAACTGGTAAAAGGGCTGTAATTCTATAAGAACGGTTGTGTTTATTTTTTTTTGTGAGCGATTTGATGTTCATTACCAGAGGGTATACATGTTCATCCTCTGCAAGGCTGCGCCGTGACTTTCACCAGCGGTGTTTTAACAGCTCCGCGAAATCGGACAAGGGACGTGTGTTGGGTCGGACTGCGATTCGTATACGACGTTTTATGGCAGCGATTCACAAACAAGCCTTCTACCCTCTGGTAATTTAACATAGCTATGGAAAGATCCACCATTTTTAATGGGAAATTCCACTAAGTCTATGGCCATTTTCAATAGCTATGTTAGTTTACCAGAGGGTAAAAACAAATTGAAGAATCTACAAAAAATGGAGGATGATTTCCCCTTGGATTTGTGACAGAATCATTATTATATAATACAGGGATAAACAAATGGGTGGTATGATTCTTTGCTGGCTATATCCCACTTGCGATAGCACAGCATCCCATGTTTTTTTTGGTGCCCTCAGTCATTGAGGTTCATTCTCTAGTTCCAGCCATGCAAAACTGGATCACATGTTGGATGCTTCCAACAAGGACGACTCGAACTGTCTACCGATTCAACAATCGAACATGACTGTTTTAGGAACAGCATTAAATCATGCAAACAGATCAGTTGTCGTTGGCATGTAATTGTATTTCAATATTCATAAAACGTGCATATGTAACACACATATATGATGTAACACACACCATTAAATTATATGTAATGTTGGGTAGTATTATGTATTTACTGTTTACTATTTACTAGCTACTTTGTTCAAAGAATTGAGTATTACCATGCCATAAAAAAGGTACATGCAACAGCTACAGCCATGGTCACTTGCAGGGCTCGTAGCACCCGTCCCTCCCAGGGATCGATACATTGAAGGATCCGAATCTGTTGTCGTCTGTCGCTAGGATCAAGCGGCGCGCTATAGGGGTGAAGTGCTGGACAAAGGTTAAGCGGAGATTCAGCGAGAATGGGGGTTTCCATCAATGGGGGATCCCCTAGATAGCTAAGTTGGTGAACATAACTCTAATAACTATGGTTTATGGTACTTATAACTATAGTTATACTGGGGCTTTTGTTAACCAACTTATAACTGGGGGGCCTCACATTGCATCAATGGGGGATCCCCAGGCTCGCTGGTTGGCTCTTCGTGGAAAAGCCCAATCTAATAGCTGGATGATGATTTAGGAAACACCCATAGGATTCATGTCTGCTATATATGGTAACATTTACCATCAATATACCCCAAATGTTAGCATATATACCATACATGGATCCTATGGGATATCATATAGTCCTCTATATTCACTGGGATGTTTCGATAAATCCTGGCTTAGAGGGGTATATAACGATGTTTAACGATGTATAATTTACCGCTGGGAAACTCCCAACCTGGGGTGTCGATCTGACAGGTGTGGGTCGACCAGAATCATGACTCACTGTATCAGGAACCATTTATCCATCATCTATCTCGTGGCAGTATTCACGGGCGGGGAAATACAATATCATCCATCAGCATTATCATTATATATAATATATATGTATATACTGTGTATATACATATATATATATATATATTGGTATATTAATTAATATCATATAATTATATTATATCTACCAAATTTCTTGACTGACATTATTGACATGTGTGTTTCTCCTTCATTCATTGGAAAATCTCCGGTTGCCTTGCCGATGGGCCCTGCTGCGCAGTGGGCGAATCGCAAAGTTGGAAGTGACTTGTTGGGTGACACGAAACCAACTGGGTCTCTCGGCCAAAGTGAGGACTTCTCTGAAGAAATCCTCCAGATGTGAGGACTAACTGGATATAACTAGGGATATTAACCGCCAAAAGCGGGGTTTTGAATGGTTTGAATGAAGATCAACCAACCATAAATGGGAAAATCCGGTAATGTTAGTAAGGCAATAGGATCCACCATCCCCGATTTTATCATAAATGAGTGGTAGAACCATGAAAACACTGGCTTATTATTGCTTTTAGTAACATGAGATGGGACAAAACAGATTTTGTTTTCACAGCAAACATGGTGTTTCAATTAAGATCAACCAACCATCAAAAGGATAGGTCGGGAACGTCATAGTTAAATCTATGGGATTTCATGAACAGGCTTGTAATGCAAAACCGAGGGAAGCCGCGCATGTAAAACGAGAGATTCGTCAAATAATCTACGGATCTACGGATTGATCTGGGCAAATCATCATAAATCATCGTTCAGAAAGATGATTTATAGAGCAATTGATTCCCCCTCCTACCCATCCTTGTTGTTTTTATTCAGATATGATGATTGCCATTTTACTGGGACATAACTCCGGGCGAAAAACCATCAATTTCGGGACTTGGACGAAAACCCTCTTGGAAATTCCGTGAAAAACGAAAAGGGTCTCTGTCAGTAAAACAAGCCAATGGAACATGTGGCAACAGGAAAATCATTATTTTTCGATGGAGGAATCATGGAGGAATCCCAACAACAGACATGGAATCATCAGCAACAAGAATTGGAGTGGGGCCGCCATGGCCACCCATTTAGCGGGGACCCAAACATACCGGATCATTTGTTGCACCAAAGCATCCGTTCTGGGGTTCTATCATGAAAAGGCCATACATAGTGAATCCAAAACGATTTGGACCTATTAAAATTTGGATAAATTTGGCATATTTTGGCATGCTGTTTCCAGCTAGATTGAAGGTATGTTCAAATTCTCAGTCAAACATCTGCCTCTGAACCCTCTAAAGTTCACATTTATTGACCATGTTTACTTCCAAACATTGGGTGGTTTCATCACCAAAAATTTCGCCCTGCCACTATAGGGTGCATATATCTCAAGGTACCATGAAAAATGGACAGAGTCGTTCCGCTCGGAGCTTCACCCTGATGAAGATCAGAATGTTACGCACCATTTCCCCATTGACCCTCTAATCAAAGATGTGAAATCCGTGAACTCAACGGAGGTTGAAATAGCTGGGAAAATCATCTATCATCTGTCACTATTTAACATAGCCATGGAAAATCCCAACCATAAATGGAGGTTTCTAGCTGGGAAAATCATCTAATTATTTCGATTAGGGCCATCTATACGATGGCAAACTGTTAGTCATAACCAGAGGGTATCATCTGTCACTATGGGATAGCTTCCACGCCATGAGAAGTGGAGCTTCATGGACCAAGGCTTGCAAAAAACACGCCGGTCTCACTCTGGCCGTCCCAGCACTATAAAGCTAGCTGGTTGAAACTCGCCAGGTAGCTGTGTGGCAGCAATCAGTAACCGGACTCTGTGCGAGAAGTGAATCCCTTCATGGATTTTTTTTAAAAAGTGTCCGGGACTAGAGCCGACAGGCGTCGTGTTGGTGGTTGTCCCAAGCCCAGTCCCAAGTCCCCATTTGTTATAGTCCCTACCGTGCCTGTTTGAGCCTCAAGCGAACAAACAAGGAAACCACCAGCCACATGTGGAAGTTTTGACAAATAAACACATACACACACACCAGCCAGCAAACCAATCGTTCAAACAGCCGAATCAAATATCCACACCATCAATTGTCATGTCAATCAAGTACACGTCAAACCATTTCTTTGGTTTCTATGCTATGGGGGTTGAACCAAAAGAGAAGACTGACACTGAATTCTATATAGTCCACCCCGGAGCGAACAAAAATCAGATAAATCTCCACGATTTTTTTTCTGCCGTGCTCAAAGATTGCACTACCAAAAAGCAGAACTTTTACCTTTAAGACAAGCCAATAGCGATCCATAGACCCACACAATTTCGAGAATACCAATATTGGCCAAAAAACATGTACAATGATCATCACACCAATCCCTTCCCCAAGAAATCCCCCTAGAAACGGTTGGTTTGGTGGTGGATCTATTCTTAAATTGGGGACCATTTTTTTGATATTAAGCAGATGGGATTGCTGCATTCAGTGGTTGCATACTTGTTTGCTTGGATTACTAGCTTATCGGATGTTTAATTACTATCATTGTTATAATGCTGTTTGAAAAACCATTGGGGCCCAGGAATTTCAATATGTGCATGTATTATCATATATACTTAGTAACATCACAACTCGTAACCAACATTGTTTAAATATGTTCCAATGCTACTAATGCTCACTCAGCCTTGTCACGATCGTCTGCCACATGTTTTCACCGTGGACCTTGCAGCCCTTGGGAAACCACAAGCCATTCACTTTGGACAACGCCCTTGCCGGTGACATGGCAAGACTTCTCTTGAGAATATGTGGGACATCAAAAAAGGGGGAGCATCATGCCAGGATGATAACAACATATTACCAACATATACCAGGAAATCTCGGAATGGTCATTTTTTTGAGCAACAAATATGGTGAGACACCAACAGATTGGGCAAGATATGTTGGCTGGCAGCTCTTCAGATGTTCGTATGGGATCAAAGAAAAACATTGGATCAGTGACTATTTGGCCTCCTTTTTTACTAGAAGGGAACACATCAATAGCAATCAAAACAAATTCAGAAAAACTTCAATTTCCCATGATAATTAATCAGATTGTACCAAATTCGGCATCTTAGGGTTGCTATATGTTCAGCACTCGCGAGAGGGAGCTCAGAATGTAGGGGCTCATCCAAGATTTATTTTTTTAATTGGATTGTAAAATTTTAAATATCTCAAAAAGTCTCTAAGAGACAAAAAGAGAAGAATAGATAAAACAATAGAGAAAGCCCAAGAAAGAAACCTAGTATTTTCAAATCAAATTCTGGCCCATTGGGCATGAAGCAGATCACATACAAGCATTCGAGTACATATGGCGTTAAGTGATGGTTGTTTTTATTGAAGTAGGTCAAATCCAGTGTTGTGTCAAGTGCTGACTATTATGTGTTCATGATGCATGTTGGATACCACAGCATTTTGGGTTGGCTTGATCATCTTCGACCAGCACCATGTTTTCCTCCATCCACTCTCGTCTGTTGTGGGTGGCTGATCGGGTTGGACGCGGTAATTGGGTGAAAATTGTGCCGTCCACTGGCGTCCGCTGTGAGCTGTTGAGTGAAAATTGCCTTGTTTTCAATCTCTATTCTTCTCTATTGTTTCTCTATGTTTCTCTTTTGTTCTTTATTTTTCTCTATTTTTCTCTGCCCATTAAAATCAATTAAACAATCATATTCTATTTTGCTCTATTTTTCTCTGGTAACCTGATGGTGTATCGCCTCGCTAATTCTGCTCTTTTTTAATTTATGTTTCTCTATTTATCTCTTGGCACTTGGGCAGACACATGTGTTTTTTGGCCAGCATTTGGCTCCAATTACTCAAATGCTCTGGTCTTGCAAGAACATTGTATCCAGTGTCATCATGGGAAGGAGACAGCACATTATGCTTCCACATGTGACAATCTTTGAAAACATGTGAAAAACTTTGAAACAATTGGACAGCATTTGACAGCACTTGCACTGGACAAGATTTGAAAGAGCTTGACACCTGATAGCAGTACTGGATCACTGTGTTTCTCCCTAGCTTGCATCTGGTCCTTTCTGGTGTCAATAGGTGAAAACATGATTTAAAACGGTTCATTCCTTTCTTGGATTTTCTCTATTTTTTTCTATTCTTCTCTACTTGTCTCTAAAAGACTTTTTGAGGCATTTTGAGTTGCACACAATCTTGATATAATTAATTCAATTACCAGAAAAATATTCAAACATGTAAATCTATCATAAGTAAACCCCTCGGATCTAAGCCCCTTTTTGGTTTTGCTGATATGTTGCTGTAATAGATTCATATAGATTCTATACGAAGCCACATCGCAACACGAGTGGCACCCCCTCATCTGGCCTCACTCGATCTCAGCCACCAAACCGTCCTTTTCGAGGACGGGCCGATAGTTATGATATCATGTAATCATGGTCAAGAATAAGAGATCTGGTTGGTGGTTTCAACCCCTCTGAAAAATATTAGTCAGTTGGGATTATTACTCCCAAAATATGGAAAAATAAAAACTGTTCCAAACCACCAACCAGTGATAGTTGATAACGAACAATTAATAGTTCGATGTGTGTCAAACATATGATGAATCATGGGAACGGTCAACATGATTGATAAGACTGCTGATATGTTTCAACAAATCCACAAACATCGTTTCTTTATTATCTGGTTGGTGGTTTTAACCCCATCTTTAAAAATATGAGTTCGTCAATGAAAAGGATGACATGTTTTTATTTTATGGAAAAGAAAACACGAAATGTTCCAAACCACCAAGCAGTTATGCTTGTTTATACACATCAAGTTTCAACCATACTGCGACCAACGAAGCTCGTTCCTCCATGCTGTGCCCGGCTTCCAGTCCAGCAGTGGCCTCAGAGGTGGAAGGGTTTTAATGGGATATCAGTTGAGCCATGAAAGTTATACCCTCTGGTATTTAATAGTGATTAAAAAATGGTGATTTAATGGTGATTCTACTATAAAACCATAGGACAATGGTGATTTAACCGCTATAAATGGTGATTTCATGGTGATTTTCATGGCTTAATAATGGGTTAACATTGATGAATAATGGGATGATATGGGATTTATCCTCTGGTAATGACCAACATAGCTATTGAAGCCATGGCCATAGAAATAGCGGATTTGCCCAGCTATAAAATGGTGATTTTCCATAGTTACGTAAACGTTTACCAGAGGGTACACCCTGATTGATTGGTTCATTTCCTGGGACTTATACCAAATCTCTTGGGAATGATGATAAGTCATAGAATTGGGAGACATGGTTTGGGGAAACTCTTATGGTAACCATAGTAACCTCAAAAAAATAGAACCTCAAATACTACCTAGGGACCCTTGGGGCTTCATTTTAGACACTGGTCTAAAATGACATCCCCTGAACCATTTAGCAACAAAATCAGCCTCCAGACCTTTACGGGGCTCGGAGCTGCCTGGTCTAGAATGGAGTTCTCGCTGGACATATTCGGGACTATCAAGATACAACGTATGAGCAGCTTTGGAATTGATAGAGTATATATATATATATATTATACATGTATATATATATTAAATTAAATTAAATTACAGTTTAATCTTCAACTCTTGGACCCTACCAAAAACGATATTTTTTGTGGGACTCAAACTTAAATACTTTTGGCTTTTGACAAGATATTGCAAAGAACATATTTAATCGTCAACTTTGCGCTTCCATTTTTAGAGCACTCACTATGCGCTTCCATTTTGGTACCACTATGCGCTTCCATCTTGGGAGCACTATGCGCTTCCATTTTCGGAGCACTATGCGTGAGTAACAACACTTTACCAATTTTTAGCAGCCATGAGGCTCAACAGGGTCTCTGAAAATTTATGATCAATTTCTTGCTAAATGAACTCACAGCAGTCACTGCCACGAACACATATACAAATGAAATCTACACAATCAGCAACTACATACAATTATATATATATATATATATCATATGATATCCATAAGTACAATGATATGCATAGAAAGTCGAGGGGTCTAAAGCCAGGTGGCGGGGTCTACCGCCGGCTGGTCCCCCAGATCCACCCATTCCAGACCCTCAGTACTTGAGGGTATATAAAAAATACCTGCTAATTAGTATATACATATACATATCATATATTGTATATCAATATATCAATGAAAAATTTTTAAATACCATATATGATATTGTTATCACATTAAACATCAATCCCATATATGATATTGTTAGACCATGTGCAAACAAACATATCATGGGATTTATGGTTGGTGATGAAGTTTTGACATCATTTAATGATTCAATGATTGGTAATGAAATGACGGTTATATTGCTGTGCCTTGTTTATTAGTGCTACCCCAAAATGGTTGGTTTATAATGGAAATTCCTACTAAAATAGATGATTTAGGGGTACCCCTATTTTAGGACACCTCCATATAACCCACCAAACTTTGACATGACCAACTTGACCAACGACCAACTTGGACGCGCCGGAAGTTAGGATCTGGGCGTCCGAATGGTTCCAATGAGCACAAAGAAAGGATACAATCAGCACAAATGGCTTTTATTTATGAGATTTTCCCCACATCACTGTGTGGGGTTCTTATTTTTCGCTTGGATCCCGCCACTCTCCTCCGCCGCCGTCCGCCGCCGCGCCGCACTCACTACTCATCACTCACTCACCCACCCACCCACTCACTCACTCACTCACTCACTCACTCACTCACTCACTCCTCACACACTGACTCACTGACTCACTCACTCCCTCACTTGCCGCCTCACTCACTCACTCACTCACTCACTCACTCACTCACTCACTCACTCACGCACGCACGCACGCACGCACGCACGCACGCACGCACGCACGCACGCACGCACGCACTCACGCACTCACGCACTCACGCACTCACGCTCTCACTTACCACATCTCACTCATCACATCTCCATCACCATCACTACACCACTTCTCACATCTCACTCATCACTACGGCTCGCTCTCGCGTGGCAGGTGCAGTACACAGAGACCTCCTGGCGGAGCTGCGGCGCGCGTGGCCGCCGCTGGCCCGCCGCTGCCTCTTGCGTGGCAGGCGCAGTACTTAGATGATCTGCTTCTTTGCTAAGGGCTTAAGAAGTTTATTCACATTATCTAAACCCATGCTAAGAGTCTGTTAAATGCCTGTTAAAGCATTGCTAAGTATCTACTAAAGTTCCTAAAAGCTTATAAGCAAGTAAGATGATTAAGTAATCTTTAGCTAATTATGATAAAGCAACATAATTTTGCTAAACATTAGACATGGCTTAGCTAAGAAATAGCTAATTTCACAACATGGACATGATCAATATTCTCACGAACTTTTTCTTTGTCCAATGTTGTTTTTAAAACAAAATTTTGAAAAGTTCCACAGCCCAGGTTTGTATGTTTTCTGGCACATTGATATCTCTTGATTGAAATTTGCAGACAACTTTTTCATATTTTTCAAGCCTGCTGCAAGCACATTTGCAATGCATCAGATCTCCACAGCTGCCAGCACCAGTGTGGCACTTGCCATGCAATACCTGTAGCATCCAGTGCTACAGGCAACTTTTCCATCCACCAGTCACCCAATGCCATATAGCTGCATTGGTTTATTGACAGCACCCAGCGCTACCTATATATAGGCACCCGGTGCAACCCAGCATCCAGTGCTACCCAGCAGCCAGTGCTATATATCCAGCACCCAGTGCTATACCCAGCACCCAGTGCTATATACCCAGCACCCAGTGCTATCCAGCATTAAGTTGAATTTGCCTGCCACAGCTTGAATTGTTTGGAAAAAGAGCATGTGTGGATCTGTGAATTCCTGCAGACAAGTGTGCCCAGCTTCCAGAAGCCTGTACAATGTGAATGTCAAAGGCAAGAAACAAAAAAACAGAAATGGAAAGAACAAGTGAACACAAATTCCAGGAAGACCAATGTTGGACAACATGAGTCCAAGAACAGCAACTTCCCTGTGCAGCCACCTGTTATATAGCCATGGACCCCCATGTGGTGGCTGAGCTTACCAAGCTGAAGGATGACAAGCAACTGCCCATCAACACCAAATGGGCCAAGTTGAAGGAAACCATGGTCCAAGCAGGTTTGGCATGGCCAAGGACAGAGGTCCCCAGCCAAGTGTTGTGCCACCCAAAGAATAGAGCAGGCATCATGCTCAATGCATGGGATGTGCATGCCACGGGTGCCAAGATGCTTGAATTGGGTATGGCCATGAACAAGATCCAAGAAAGTGTTGCCTTTGAGGTGTCGACCAAAGGCAGCACCAAGCACCAACAGCTCCAGGCCAACATTCAACTAGTGGAGTCCTCCCACAACCAACTGGCACCAGTAACTGGCCAAGAGAGATTGCTCAGCTGCTCCAGCAGCCATTTAGTCGCCTTCTGCAGAGCAGTTCTCCATGGGTGCCAAACCCAGGAGCCAAGTCTCAAGGCCAAAACCAATGGCCAGTTGAGTTTGGCTGCTTTGGCCAACAGCCAAGATGGTTTGGTGACCATGTGTGAGCAAGGGTGGACATGGTTGGTGGTGTCCAGTCTGGTTGAAGAGGCCTTCCCAGACCTGCCAACTTTGGTCCAACAGGCCTTGAACACCACCCAGGCAGTCAGCCAAGGCCAAGGCGAATGTGAGACCATGCTCACCATTGCCACCCACTACCAGCATGGCCAAGACAGCAATGGCTCAGGAGACATGGCCCAAGCCATTCAACTGGCAGCCAGCAGCCAGCCAGAGGGAAGCAACTACATGCAGACCATGGGCTACTATGTCCAAAACTTCAGTGGTGGTGTTGGCTGGCCATTGCTCCACCTGCTCCAGCACATCAGCAGCTGGGCTTCATTAGCTGCCAACATCTGTTTGGGTTTCTGACATTGTTGTGTTTGTTGCCCCATGACACCCTGTACTCAGGCAAGCAGTTCAGCACCACTTTGAAGCTGGGGGAAGAGTATTTCTCCACAGTGGCCTACCTGGACTTCAAGGAGAAAAGCTCCAGCATGCCCTGGGTGCGGGCTGCACTCTTGGCAGCCAATTTGTCTGCACCAAGGTCAATTGATGGCATTGCCAAATGTTTGACCAAGGCAGACTGTGAAAAATTGAAGTCCAAGCACCAAAAGGCTCTGGTCATTCAATGTGAATCCATGTTGGCCATGAACTGGGCCACTTTGCAAGGCAAGCCATGGAAAGACACACCCAAGGCTTACAACTTGATGGGCAGGTGCATGGTCAGGATGGCATTGCATATTGCCAAGAAGGAAACCAAAGGGAGAGACACCAAAAACTACGAGTCTTTAGCTGAAATTTCCACTTTGTTTTCTGAAGAGCTGTTGGAAGTGGAAGCAGCACCTGGGGCCCCATCTGTGGAGCCAGCTTCTTCCAGCCACCAACAGCCTATGCCCCAGCCAGATACACTCCAGGCCTGGGAATCTGTATGCATGTGCCCACAACATATGTTTGTGTGTGGCTTGGATTTTTAATTGTGGTTTAATTGTCCTCCATTGCTACCCATTGCCAGGATGCTGCAGACCCAGCCAAGCTGGCCATGAAGACTTACAGAGTGGAGCCAGGTTGCCATTACACTTACAAAGCCAAAGATTCCAAAATTGCTGACCCAAGAGTTTGGAAGCTCCAGCATGTTGGCCCAGACAAATCCAATTTTGAGCACCAGCCATTGATTGGGCCAGCAGTTGGCTTGGAAGTGGAGAATGAAGACCTGAAGAGATTTAGAAAGTTTGACAGGGACCTCCCAGTGTTGGTTCCAACTGCAACACTGGAGAAGCTACACCCAAGCCAAAGTGAGCAGCTGCTGAAGGAAGCCATGAAGGCAGAGGCCCAGCAAATCCTGTG